AAACACACTGGTTTATCATTTTTACAGTATTTGATTTTCATCACCACACGGCTTAAAGCATTTGCTGTGAGGTGGGCTGAAATACCAAATATTTCCTTATTGAGCTGAATGTTGTCAGCAGTCTTTTTTTTCTCTGTGCAGGGTGAGATATGAAGTGCACAGAATAGTGTTATTTTCTATGCTGCAATGAAAATCCACAAGTCTAACATGTATCGGGCTCAGTTAGGGGGAAAATACTGGTCTTGTTGGACCTTTTTGCTCACTTCACTTCAGAAACACAGAGTTGGAAGATGCTGAGAGGATGCCACCGAGCCTGAAATTACAGCATTAAATTAGATTAGGTTAAACATCTTGTGGACAGTTACCATTAAAATTCATTATGCAATTTTATTTTCTTCCCTTAAATGGCTCATTTTATCTGTTCAAGAGAGAGTGAAAGGAAAGGTAGCACTTGAATCAATGTAAGCAGCAAAAACAATAGGGACATATTGACTGGAGCCTAAAGAAATAAGTCTGCATTAATGTGAAGCTTTACATCTTCATGCAAAGCGTCATAGCTCATGAAACGAATCAAGAAAGTTGCCTTAAATTTAAAGAAAAAGAGCAAAAAAAAAAAACCCTGCAAAATAAACACAGACACACAAAAAGAAAACAGCAAAATGCTTCCACAGACTTCATTCTCTTCTCACTAAGGAAAAATAAAAGGCTAAATCAGTGGTTTTCATCCTTTTTCATTTGACATATCCCCAGTCTTCTGTCTTTTTGCTAACTGTTGTTAGCTAATAATTTAACTGTTAAATGCATTATATTAATACCTAATGTCAGCCAACTATCCTTTAAGCTAACAACTTTCTTTGTACCGTTAGCTAACACTTGATGGTTTTCCAGTCTTTCACCTTTCTACTATGTTAATTCATAGTGCTAGCTGACAACATGGCTACTAACTACACTTCAACCAAAAAAAGCCCACTGTGCTTTGTCCATAGTTTCAACTAGCTACTGTTTTCTGTATTGCTATTATGTTGTGCTATCAGTTGTTTTGTACTGTTAACAGACCAAACAAAAAAAATTCAGCACTGCTGTATTTATAATTTTAGCTAGCTGTTCATCCATTCTGTTTAGCTAATAGCATTTTTTGCTCTATTAACAAACAGTTGCTAGCTCTACTCTTTACTGAGACTTTTAGTAACTATTTAAATGTCACTTTTGATTTTAGCCAGACAATAACTTTTTTCCCGTTAAGTGTTGCTAACAATTGTAAAGAGGTGATGGCAGTCAGGATAAAACACTTTATCGATAAGTAGGCTTTACTTTACTATACACACAAAACACAAGCAACCAATATATTCAAAAATGTTATTATACAACACTGTATTAACAAAAACAATTAAATTTGATAATTTTTGTAGTGATCTTTCCCCCTATTTTTATTTATTATAATTCTTTTTTTCTCCAAATCAAATGTTTTTATGTTCATGGTACACTTTACTGGCTGACTGGCTAGGTTCAAGGCTTAAAACTTTTTATCGTGTATTAATTTTATGAAAGATCATTGAAGAAGATGAATGGGAAATATACGTCCAGAGCCCTTAAAAAAATAGGGCGGTCACTCTTTTGCAAAAGAGTGATAAATGTGTCACACTACCTACCTTAAACACTATTTAGCTAAGATTTTGTGTCCTGAGAAGGGCTCCGTCCTGCACTGTAGAATGTATAATAATGTAACATAGCAGTACAGTAATAGAAATGTGCCAAAAAGCAAAGAACACCAGTATTTTCCTTTAAAAAAAACCCTTCCATTATTTTAGTCTCTTCCTTTGCCCTTCACTACGTGTACTGTATGTAGTGCTGAACATGAAGCTGGTTCAAATGTTCAGGCTTTACCCAACTGATTTCCTGTGGGACTAACAGCCCTTTCCATAAACATGCTTATCAAGGGGCACCTGACCTTTGAGTGGTGTGGAATTAGGTTCTTAAGCCCAGAGGTGTGTCCTCGGCTCAGAGAGAAGGTCAAAACATTATCCTGCAGCAAGATCACAAAGGTTTAATTTTTCAAAAGTAGGAGGAAACTTGTGAAAATGATCTCTACCACAGCAAAATTGGGAAATTACTTTAAGAGCTGCCTAACTACAAACACACAGCTGTGAAACAGAGAAAAATGTCTAAACCAGGAGGGCACAATGATATCAACAGGGAAAAAAAAAAAAGGCCAGCTAAAACAAGCTCTGCCCTCACTTTAGCAAAAGGCCAACCAGTGAAGAGGCTGACATTTATCAGACATTTGAAACAGTAATAACAAAACACAATGGCATAATTGCCATAGTGCTACTTTTTCCCCCTCTATCACGAGCCAGCTGATTGCACAGTGGTTGGAAAATTCTTTATATCATATACACGAGTTCTCTTTTCTATTTCTTGGCTGCCTTGTTTTGTTTATTAGCTTGTTGCTGGAGCTCCTGTTGTGTAAGTGGCCATTTCAGACTGTGGTAATGTTGCTATGATAAGTATTTAATGGGTTTAAAGACCCTTCACTATAAGAAAACTGCTTTTCCACCTCAAGGTGCAATGCGAGGTCTCAAATGAAAGTCAACATGACAGCAGCACTCACCAAAACCATTTTTTCCCCTTCAGTCGTCACAGTTTTCTGTCTTCATACAGGATGTCAGCATATCGCCATCACGAAGCCGTACTTGTGTTTTCCTACGGCGAGTGTAATTGTCTACAAGCGTTGGCTCCGGGCTCAGTTAAAGTCGTCGAAAACATTACACGTCCAAACAAACCATGCTGCCACATCATTTTTTTTCCCTTAAAGCTGAGGCAACTAGATGGTGACACTGATGTCCTCTTTCTCCAGATAAAATAGATCTGTGGTTGTTGATGTGTAGACATGGTCGCTCTCGGGGCTCAACTCTACTATGCTATATTATGTTGGTGACAATGTGATTGAGCAGTTCTGTCAATGTAGAAACAATTTGAGAGGTCGTGGTACTTGTAAGGGGCCCTGCATCATTGGCCATCCATCAATCTGCTTTGTAAACCGTGATATTTTGTACTGAATATTTATATGACACAATTAAATATCTTTAAAATCAACCACTCGTTTCTCTTTATGAGGTTTTCTTCCAGAATATTTCACAGATTTGTGTGTCTCAAGGTGCAACGTGAGGCATTTTTTTAACCCGAGGCAGCTACTGTAGATGGTGATGCTGATGTCCTCTTTCTCCCGATAGCGAAGGCAGGAACAACTGTAATACACTCAAGTAAGAAAAAAGCTAGAGCGATTACACTAATGCTACAGATACACGCGATCTTGTTGCCTTTAACAAGGTCACTTCACTTGTCAGTAAGCTGTTCTCCTCAAAGCAACTTTGGTGTATGGGGAAATCGATAAAACACCAATGAGACGAAAGTCAGTCTGCTATCAGTTTGCGATTAAATGGGTTCAAGTCATTAATTACATGCAATCTGCTTGTGACAATACAGAGATTAACTCAGACAAATCAGTGAAAATCACAAATCTTTTCCTATTTGTTGCAAATCTGTTGTTGTCTACATACAAACTGACATTAATTGCTTTCAGAGTCTAACCAGACGACTCATGAGTCTGAACAAGAAACTCCTCCACAAATAGTGCTGAAGTTACTACAGGATGGTGATTTAACTGCAAAATGAGAGAGACTTGGGAAACTTCTGAAAACTTGCCCTCTTGTGAGATTTGAAGATTCACCTATGGTACCGATTTTAAATCGTGCAATCGTCTTCATAATGTTGGGGGTCAACGCTGACTGCCCGGCGGGGTGAATACAATATCCCATCAGCCTTTTACCATTGAGGTGTAAAAAATTAACATTCACTTTAATGTGGCTGTAGGCAGCAGAGTGATGTATAATATGTACTGTGCAATCATCATCAACACCGAAGACACCTGACATCTAAACACATTTTAAAGTATACACGATAAACATTTTTTAAATTACGTTACTCGACGCTATTACAGTAATTTGATTTCTGTCATTTAAAACTTATTTGCCTTGTGTCTTAGATACAGCAGACGTTATTAATCCCACACTGGGGAAATTCACCTGTTACAGCAGAACAAGGGTCAGAAAGAAAAAGCGTATTGGAGAGTTTTAATAAACAATAAAAATATCATTTGTATTATTTGCACCTATTTGTTCCTTTTATCAATAAAACCTCAGTTGCCTTTGAGTTGTGAAGTACGGTGCTCCCGGTCTGACTTAAAATAGATTTGTAGTTGTTGGTCGTTAATGTGTAGCCATGACAACCGGCCTCATTCACAAATTGTGCATATGAACAAATTCAGAACAGCCTTAACCTTTAAGAATGAGAAAATGATTAATTTTTAGTTGTGTTTTCCATGAGCCAAAAATGCTCAGTAAGATAAATTATTGGCAGAAGTTCTTACTATTTACATAAAACATTCAAATCTCTCTAAAATCAGCTGCTGTGAGGTTTTCTCTTTCAGAATAACATTGTTTGACAGACAGCTGTGTGGCAGCTCTAGTGGACCACTTTCACTTTCTTCCCTCTAGTTATGAAGAAAAATGTAACTTTTATCTGAAATGTGACAGCAGCCACAGGCTAGTAAGCTAGACAGCTACCATCCTCACAGGTACATATTTATTATCTACAATAAATCTCAGTATAAAAGACCCGATTCTAGACGTCAGATAGTTATTAATATGACGGCTTTTGCTAAATAGCTGGATCCAGAGGCTACTGAGATGAGGAAATTGTTAATTAGACAATCTATAATTAAGATCTGTTAGACAGCCAATCGGATTTAGAGAGAGGTTAAAAAGAGAGTAGAGGAGGGGGGGGGAATCACATTTTGATTATTAGAGGATGAGTGGCAGATGTGAGACAGATGGTGACACTGTAGTGAGGGAGTATAACGGACTCATCCTGTTTTAGAGGTTTAGAGATCAGAGTAGGAGGGATTACGATTAATACAAAAAAAATAAATAAGAAAATCTCACTTTTTGGACCAGAATCAGAAACTTTATTTACAATAGATGCTCTGATGGTTTATTTAACAGTTCTTACTCCATTTTAAAAAATGGGTTTTTTTGCCATGTGCCAGTAACACGGTGAGGTCCTGCTGTGGCTTTGTTTTTAAAAAGGTTCCACTCTATATTTAACACACACACACATAAGACAACATAAAGCCACCTTCGACAGAGCCAGAGTGATAAACAGCATAAAACATGAACGCATGAGGCTTCATTTCTAATTCCCTTTGCCCTACCTTTACTTTGAAAATACTGGCCACAAAGCTAGTTTCCCCCCAAATATTTGTGCTAACGGTCACTTTGACCCAGTTGATCCCTACCTAAAACCCATCTATCTTCCTTACTACATCTTCATGATCAACTAGTGGCACCTCCGTTTTGCTAGCTCTTGCCTGAACAGCTGCAACATCTGCAGAGAAGGCTCCCTAATGTGGACCCGGGTCCTGATTGGCTGTCCCAAAGAAGGCGCTGTCACTTCCTGTACTCTTCCGAGTCTTCGGTTTCCTTCTCCTGCCGCTCCCGCTCTCGTCTCATCTCCTTCAGCTCCTGCCTGTATTTCCGCTCGATGAAGCGCTTCTGATGAGCCATCTGTGGGAAGTTATCTGGTACAGGGAGAGGCAGAGCGGGAAACACAGGAGTCGACCAAGGAGAACAGATAAAGAGAGAGAAACACAGAAGCAGAGGTGTGAGGAGACAAGGTCAGTTTCCAACTGGGTGAGGACAGCAATTTAGTTCCCAAATTGCACTGACTATGGTTTTCATAGCATGTGTCATGCTGTCACTTAGGTCAAATGAGCGAAAATGTTGCAGGCTGTATTGAAATTAAATTGCCCTCATGTTGTTATTTCATTAATAATGATGAAGTAACAAGGAATTAGACAGGCCTTGTTTGGTTTCAGCACAATGACTGTGAGATCTGATAACATAATTACAAGCGAACATTTCGAAAATGAGATCTGTAATAAGATGGCATAGTGTGACAGCAGGAAGAAAAATATCAAACAAAAACAGATACAAGCTTAAAGGTATATAAGCAGCAGACAAAAGAAACTGTTAACGTTTTGAAATTGTGTCTATTTGAAACTTTCATATTAAACTGCTCGTTTAGAAACCTCTTTTAAAGCTGCTACTATTTGGCGTTCAACCAGCAAACTGCAGCTTTGGCTACATCAGCCATTAGTTTCTAAAGAGAAGTTCTGAGGCCTCGATTTGAGTTTTCTGCTCGCTGCCAACTTGGCTCGAGTCGTCTCCAAATGTGGTGAAACACACAGGGAGCCCAGGCTCAGGAAGTGGGAACCACAACAACTGAAGTGCTCAGGACTCGTGTCAGAGACACACTCTGAACCGCTTTCTGTGAAAGTCTCCACCAAGACGCAAATTGGTTTCTGTTTCAAGATTTCCACATTTCTGTGTCACATATTTTCATTAAGAGCTGTGAAATGTGGGGGCGGCGTACTCGGGAGAATGTGCTTAAAAGGCTAACGGCAGCAAATACGGGATTACGGATATATCTGGCCCGAGTGACGGATACACAAAGGAATATTTTATTAAGTATTCTGCTGCATCAATTTTGCAATGACTAAGTGTTTACACCTTTTTTTAATTTAAACTTTTTAACCTTTAAGGGAAAGAAACACCTTTGAGATTAAAAATATCATTTGCAAGAGGTTCAACTTAGATTCAGGCTCGGAAGTTTTTAGACAAAGACGCTTTTTTTCTTTTTTGCCTTTATGCACCACCACAGTGGATTATAAAGGAAACAATTGAGCTGTCATTCAAGCGCAGACTCTCAGCTTTAACTCAAGGGCTCAAGGCTCTAAAGTAACTGAGAAGCACTTTTGTGGCCAGGTGAGGCCTGTTCCCTTGTTATTTCATGACAAACAAAGTAGATTAGAGATCTGGAGTTAATTCTAAGTGATGAACTTCAATGAACTCTCAATATGAGGTCCAAAGAGCTGCCAGTACAACTCAATGAAGCAACTCAAGGTGGCTGCAGTAAAGGCCTCATAGAACAGCGGTCCCCAACCCCCAGGCCACGGACTGGAGTCCTTTGGTACTGGGCCGCGAGAGTTGCGCCTCGGGTGTGAAATTTATGGTTTTCAGGGGTTTTAGCAGTTTTTATTGTTATTTTTTTTAATTATTTTTATCGTTAACTCTGTTTCCCTGGGTCTTTTCACATGTTTTATGAATAAATCTTCTTTTTTGGTACTGGTTTTATTTTGGTGTATTTATCCGCGACACCTTAAAGGCCAGGCCGTGAAAATATTGGGATATCAGTGGGAGACTGCGGCACCCACGGTGTGGGACGGAGAGATTTCGCAGGTCTTTCCTCCCCACTGCTGTCAGACTCCATAATAAAGACTTTAACTGATCAAGCACACACATCCATACATATGCAATAATACTAAGTGCAATAATCCTTTCTGTCATCGTTGTATTTTTACTCAGTTGTATATAGTATTTGTATTCTATTTTTATCTTATTGTATATTTATTTTATTCTACTGTATATAGTATTTTATTTTATTCTATTCTGTACAGCTGTGTACTGTATTTATTCTTATTGTATTCTAATTTTTGCCTCATAACTTTTGCACTGTCCACTTCCTGCTGTGACAAAACAAATTTCCCACGTGTGGGACTAATAAAGGTTATCTTATCTTATCTTATTGTCGGACACAACCGGTCCGTGGTGCAAAAAAGGTTGGGGACCGCTGTCATAGAGCATTTCAAGGAATGGACCTTCTGTCTAAAGAGAACATGGCAGCATGAACAAACCACAAGACTTCTGCAACAATCTTTGGACAGATGAGACCAAAGTTGAGGTATTTGGCTGTACTTTGGAGAAACCCAAACACAACATGTCAGCACAAACACGTAATACCAACTGTCAAGCACGGTGGTGGAGGGGTGAAGATTTGGGCTTGTTTTGCAGATCACACAACTAGGGATGGGTATCGAAAACCGGTTCTTGTTGAGAACCGGTTCCCACTGTTTCAATTCCTTGGAATCGTTTGCCATTTTTGCAAACGATTCCCTTATCGATTCCAGTCGCCCCGAATGACGTCACCACGTTGCGGAGCGTCATTTACCTGGCAGGAAACATGGCGCCTAAGCGGCTCAAACGCTCAAAAGTTTGATTATACTTTATGAGAACCGATGACAACAGGGCAACTTGCAAAGTAGATATTTCATTTAAGGGAGGAAACACTACGAATATGCAAAAGCATTTGCTCACAAAACACGCGATGACACGCGTTTTTAATTCCGCTCCGGACTCGTGACTCTCAACCCAGCAGCAGCGCTAACGTTTGCACGTCCTCTCCCGTTAATGCGGCAGGTAAATAATCAACTAACAGTGCATATTATGTTAGCGCAATCTGCCTTATTACAAGACCTGCCATTACTGTACATGTAGGTGACCATGATGAGAGAGACAGACAGAGTCTGGCTGGCGCTCGCTGGCAGTTCTCGCTGCAGTCTACCGGTAGCGTCTCCTTTCAGGCCAGGATAGACTAATGTCACCGAGCAGTGTCTAAGTTTGTGGTCAAAGGCTTGCACCCATTTGCCACAGCAGATGCCCCCGATTTTTGGTAAGTGAATGTGTTTAATTGTGGGCAGGGACATTACTGGATATTCTTGTGTAATTGCCACAGAATAATTTATGTTATACTTTGTTATTGCTACAGAAGAATGTTGCAGCTTTAAGGCAGGGATGACTCCTGGAGTTGCTTTTTCACTGCATATGCTTTATTTCACAATCAGATCGATTCGATAACAAAAACATACAGCAGCTCCTCTCCTACTCCTAGCCCTTCGCTGCGGTGGAAAAAAGAACGACTTCAATCCCCTTCAAGGAACATACGTACAAAATAGTTTTCCTGATACACCAATGGGGCGTTCAATGCCATCTTGTAAATATGAGTACTCTGGCAGAGTAACAGTTCAAATGAAAAATACACCAGAACAAACAAGCAAACAAAAAAAGAAGTGTGGGGTACCTTTGAACCAATGAACAAAGTATAACAATTTATACTTTTTAACATAACCCGACCCCGTCAATATGTGATATGTCTCACAAGAATATTTATTTTATTGTTTTACATTTACAATTTTTTTTCCTGGGGACCCTGTGACACCCCATTGAAGAGCCGTAGGCTGGATCTCTCAAGATCCCACTGTTGGGTTTGTAAGGCCATGTTACTCCTAAATTTCTATCTTGTTCAAAGAGAAGATATAAAACAAAGCTCTGAGCTAATCGACCTTAGTGTTCTCCTTTTTAAAAAAAAAAAAAAGAATCGATAAGAGAATCGATAAAGAATCGAATCGTTAAACAGAATCGAAAATGGAATCTGAATCGTTAAAATCTTATCAATACCCATCCCTACACACAACCCAAGAATACAGCAGGCAATGGTGGATAGGAACTTTGTAGCAAAGGTTGTGTAAGTACTACGAAGATAACTGTATAAATAATGTTACAGAAATCACACAAGTAGAAGCAACTAGTTTTGCATGCCTCAGATACCCAGTTCATTTTTTTCCCACCCAGTGCTGAAAATGACACGAAAGACAGTCAAAATCGATTAAAATTCCTTCGGATTTGCAATCTTGGAGCTTTGGATGGTTGTGAAAGATGAAAAAGTTGTGGGAAAAACAACTGAAACATCAGTTACTTTAAAAAAAAAGAATCAAAAACATGTCTTCGTGTTGGTTGGAATTTCACAAGAGCTGTAGGAACAATTCAAAATAAGAATCAAAGAATCAAGATGAGAATAAAGTAATTTAAAAGAAGAGAGGCCAATGTCAAGCTAGTGAGGCTAGCATCAAAATGTTAACTGCTAATGAACAAAAGTGATGCATTCTTTTTTTAAAGCTACTTACGTGAGCTTTTTCTCTTCATGTTTCAGACATTTGAGTAGATTTTTCAAAGGTGACAAAAAAATGCCTGTTACAATTTCAGAAAGTGGCAGCTGACAGTTTATTTTGTCTGCTCAAGAAAGGTAATTAACTTCTTCTCAGAGTACTAACAAAAACTCACATTGGACAAACTGGAATGAGATCATATTGGCATACTTAGGAGAGATTATTTTACTTATTGTTAATACATTTTCCCTTCAGTTAAAATGATTTAAGCACATAACAGAGCAGTGACTCGTTTAAAAATATTGAAAACACCTTATTTGGTGCACCAGTGTCGTCTTGAAAGAAGCAACTTTCCTCAGTTTTCATGCCAAGCAGCACTGTTTGTAATTTTAATATTCACTGCTCAGGTAATTTCCCATTAAGTGTTTACATTACTGTGCCTGCCCACTGCAAACTTCAATTTAAAACAGCATGCATGACAGCTGCCCGGTGGTTTGTGTCTACTCGCTGAGACACACATTTGACTGTGCAGTTTTTCCAGTCACTGATCATGACCATGCAAACTCAGGCAAATTGGGCTTCCAATACCTTTTCCCTCAAACGTTTTAAAGATAGCCTGTGAGGGAAAACAGAGGAGCCACAATGGCCTGTACTTACAGGACATTAAAATAAGGTCCTCTGTGTGTTTTGTACAATTCTGCGAACTTTGCAAGTATCAGGTTATCATTTTTCATAAA